GACATTCCCAGACATTGACTTAGTCAACAGGAGCTTATAAGACATTCATTCGAGTCGGACATAATTCATCATGATAATTCTGCAGATCTGAAAAAACCATATTTTACTAATTTAAATTTTTGGTTGGAGGAAGAGCAACTTCTAGAGATGGTTTAGTTTGTTTTGTGTGTATCTGACGAATTATTATGACTCCTAATTACGATACAACTAAAATAATTGTCATGACGAATTAGTAGTAAACCAGGTGTAATGACGAATTATCATGACAAATTAATTGGGCTTCCAAAACCAAGTGTAATGACCATGCTCACAAAAACTTTTACGGAGAGAGTTTTCCGATACATCTAAGGGAATTGCAAAACCTTGTAATCTAAGGTATTCTACTGCTTCCATAAAATCAACATCTGGAGAAATTAAGAGGGTTCTACCTAGACCGTGATCCATAACATTTTCCAGTAGATGCTCCTATAGAGTTACAAATAATTCAGGGTATGTTTTAGGTGTGTCTTGACACGTTCCTTTTTTACAACATACATACTTTTTTCTTGGACAAGCTACAAAATTAACCTCTTGTGAAGAAAGGAGGTCTGAAGAAAGTTGGTTGTGTTCCAAATCCTCCGGATAACCGGCGGCGAACATCATCTCTTCAGCCTCTAAATTTGAATCTACAGTCTTAAGACCAATGTTGATGATTTGCCGGAACTTGTTAAAATCATATACGTTTTTGTTGTGAGCGTCCAGTAGTGGACACGTATATATGTCCCAAATACGCACCAGTTTCATCATGTCCTCCAATGTTGTGAGCTTTTCCTCTTTGACTTCATTATAGCGTGGAAGAAGACATAATTAATTTGCCTAGTTCAGAGGCCATTTGAGAGTATCGGAGAAAGATCAAAGATATTTTAAGAGGATTAAAAAATCGAAAGATAAAAACGTAATAAGCTTTAATTGATGTGATAAGAATAGGTTTTAATTGTGCTTCAATTGAGTGGACTTTAACGTTGGTACGAATCAATATTTACAAAAGTTGTAGATGAATAAAGCAAGTAAAAGATGGAGAAAATATAAGAATAGAAGTTAACCCGAATCGTATTAAGCAGTTTGGAAAGATGTGGTAACTTTTTGATATAACCGTATTTGATTTTTATCTACTAGCTAGTTTACTAATTACATATACATATTATAATTGTAAAATTTTGAGCAAAATAAAACAAATGCTATTACGTTGATTACCAAATGGTCTTAGACCAAAAATTTGATGGGTGATATGTTGTACTTAAAAAAAAAAAAATCAACACTAAAATAGTTATATTATTATTTGTTCTTTGTCGATGCCATGCTTGATGCTTGCATATCATAATGATATGATCCACCAACAAAAACACCTCTCCCCCTCTAACAAAATGGAAGTTAGTAAGGATCACCAAAGATTTCAAATTAAATCTTCCAATCTTCCTTTGAAAGATGCGCAAATCAACACGGAGGGTTATTCTTTAAATCGGAATTTCCAAAAATTGCCTCCGAGTACCGATGAGATTATGAGCCAAAGATTCGAAATTCTCACGGTTT